CCCCGGGAGCGGCGCGCGCCGCGGGGGGCGGGGGGCAGGGCAGGGGAGGGGGCTGCGCCTCTGACTTAATGCTGGAACCATCCACGTCACGTGCGGCCCCGCGCGGATTAACCCCTGGGAGCCCGGGAACCCCCTGATTCACCCTGTGTCCCAGACAGTTCGAGGAAAGGAGGAAGAAGCTGCCTCTTCTCCAGGGCAGGATCCTTTTTGTCTACGCATTAGGGTGAGCCCCTTGCTCACAGCAGCACCCTTGGTCCTGATATCCAGCCTGGTGGCTCTTGCCGCTGGAGAGATGAGACAATGTGGGGGCAAACTACTTTTTCCCCCGACAAACACTTTCAGGCCTGGTCTCCTAACATCAGCCTGGGATGAGGGCCTGGGGCAGGCAGAGGGTTGGGCTATGACTTTACTTCGCTCTCTTTCCTGGGTGCGGGAAAAAATGTTGCCCCCAATAAAAACACCTCTCTTAGAGATCTCGTGTTTCTTACAGAGAGAGGAGTTACTGAGAGTTGCAGAGGAAACAGCTCTAAGCTGGGAATGCAGGGCTGGGGAGCTTGGGTCTGGGCACTATCATTAATTAGCTGTGGCACCTTGAACCAGTCACTTAGCGTCCTTCTGTGACTCAGGAGATTGGGCCGAATCAACTCTCAGAATCTTTCTGTGTTTGTGGTGCGTTTCAGAGGCAGGGCCAGAGCAGACACGGAGACTCCCGGGGCCACTCAGGTCTGGGCAGGGTTCAGCAGAGGTAGCCTTTGGAGCAGGTGGAGTAATAGAAGGGCTGGTGTTCCCTTTGAGCAGGAGGTGTGGAGTGAATGCCCTTCAGGAGGCAAATGATCTGAGTGTCTGGGGACCCACTGGAGAGAAGCTGTGTGCTGCTCAGACCTCAGGGCTCTGCTGCCCCAGGCCTGCCATTTTGGAGGAGAAGAGGTTGGGACCACATCTTCTAAGAGCTGGGTCTCCCCAGCCAAAAGTAAGCATAGGATTAGGGCAGTAGCTTAGAATTTCTGAGAAGAAAAAGGACCCCATCCTACCTAAGATCTTGGAAGAAATACCCGAGAGTCCTAGGACCCTGCTCACCTCCCATGGATTGAAGAGCCCTTGGATCTGGATTATACCTTTCTTATTTTCAATGCCCCCAGAAACTAGCGAAAGGAGTTGGGAGTCAAACATCATTTGTATTTCATTTGAATTCTCAATTTTAAAGGAATCCAAGAGGCCTGGTGTGAACACCTCCCTCTTCCGCTGGGGGCTTAGAGGGGTTTTTTTGGCTGTCCTCAGCCGGAGTTGGGCTGTAAATCAAGGCCAAACAGGAACCAGAAGCCTTGCATCTCACAAGAAGTCATTAAGCCATTATTAAACATACCATAACTTCTCTGAAGCCTTATTGGTTTAAACATCATTTTGGAGGCATTATGGCCATTAGGGCCGCTAATCACAGACAGCAGACTGGGCAGAGAGATGGAAGCACCTGGGGCTGGTATTTCCAGCCAAGAGGGAGGCTCAGCTAGAAATTAAGCTTCCCCTCTGGCCTCACCAGGAGGATCTGTTCTCCAGGATCCAGTGGATCCTAGCTCTGGGCAAACAAATTGTAATGATCACCTTTGCCCATTAATGTTTTTCAATAGTTGTTTGGATATTGTTGACTTTTTGGGATGTTAGTGTTAATTCAGGACACCTATTATATTCCACAAAGTTATTAAACATTTTACTGTGGAGGATGCGAGTATGACAGGAAAAATGTTGCTAACAATTTAAACAAGACAGTCTGAATTAAATGCCAAGTCTTTTGCCTTAGATTTTCTGAGCCTCAGTTTTCTCATCATAAAAAAGGGCCACACACATGGACGTTTGAGAAGCCCTCGTGTTTTGATGCAGTGTGTTAATTTAAGAGATGATGATGGTGATGATTACGATCTCCAGAAATGGCAGTCCAGATTTCTGGTTCCATCACCGAATTAGTGGAAGGCTCTTGACTCCATACTGAATGGGCCTAAGGCTGGAGCTGAGCAGAGAGACCTAGGGACCCACACCCTTTCCCAAGCACAGAATTCCTCCTGACATTCTCCCACTCTCTGAACAGAACTAATTTTTATGCCAAGATGTTGCTACCATTGAACTGAGGAAACAGGAAGCCCCAGATTACATTTGAATTGGGTGGGTAAATGAGTTTGCCCCTCCTGGGAGGGTTTTCTCCCAGTACCATGCAAAACAGGACACTGAGAGGAGACTTTCCTGCTCCCCTTTAAACCACTAGTGCAAACTCTTTAGTAACTCTAAAGTTGCTGTTTTTATATTTTCTATGCACCTGCTCCATTAAACTCTTGCCATTCTATGCACCTACTCCATCAAACTCTTCCCAGTCTAGAAAGATGCATAGAAAACATGAAAACAGTAACCACAGAGTTGGTGAATTTTTCTTCTTAGGAAGGCTAGGAGATCACGGAGTGCCATAGAGGCCTTCATATTACAGATAACAACAATAGCTAACAATGTGCTGGCCATTGTCTCATGTATTCTACATACATAGATTTATTTAATTCTGACCACACCCCAAGAAGTAGGCACAATTATTAGCCCCGTTTTACAGAGAAAGAGCATGAGGCTACAGAAGGAAGCCATTTATTCAGAGCTGACACAGCCTGTAAGTGGCAGCACCAGAATTTATGCTCAGATCTGTGATCCTCCACCCTCATGACCATCTCTCTTTTTCAGCTAACTTAACAAAGCTGAAAGCATTCACTGCACACCCTCCTTTTCCCAACAGGAAGGTTGGGACTTCTCCTGAAAGAGAAGTTGAGACCACAGTGGATTGAGGACAGAGTTGGTTTGAGATAGAGCTGCATTGCTGTCTTCTTGATCACCATGTGGCAGTTTATCATGTCTAGCTGCCCCGGCTGTGGTGGCCTGGACAGTAGGTAGAAGGTGGTTTCTGCTAAGCAGAGACCAAACGAAACAGTGTATCTAACACCTGAAAGCTTTATGACTGACCAGCACAGTCAGATATGGTGCAGAATTTTAAGAGAATTTGTGAGTCCAGCACTCGTGCTGTTTAATAACAAGTTGAATTACAACTGCATTTGTCACTGATACATTGTCCATGGAGTAAGAGATGAATTGACAGCACGACCCAGATGATTCTAGGTCCTGTACTGAAAAAAACTTTTTAAAAAACCTTTCCATTTGCTGAGAAAAACTACTTTTTAAGGAAGCGATACTTAACTGGCTGTTTTACGCTGGCTGATTGTTGAATTCATTCATTTGATGGGAAGACCTACTATGTGACAGGCATTTGCAGGCATCAGGATACAGCAGAGAGCAAGACAGATGTGATCCCTGCTTTCATGATGCTAACACTTTGCTGGGATGGAAATGTCTCATCCACCCTGAAGAAAATCGTTGTTTGGATGTGAATTAGAATGGCATCTGGTCTTGAGAGCAGGGTTCCTGGCTCCTGGCCTCAACTGTAAGCAGTTCTTCGATTAGGAGAACATCAGTCCCACCTACTTTCCCTTTCATTTTCTGCTTCCCTCAGGCTACACCACATGAAGGAGGATACTCTCCTTTTTCTCCCAGTGGCTATCTAGAAGTGGTCAGAACAGTGGGAAAAGACTTAAGCTCAGATCTGAGATTTGCTTGACATGCACGAAACTTCTTTCCAGACAGGAAAAACTCAGTTACTTTTTCTTCTTCTAAGGGAAGACAGTCACTCTTACTCTTGTCCTATTTAGACACTGAAATCCTAAATAGATCCCTATGAAAATTCTGGGTTTGGGAGTCCAAGTAGATTGTTTCTCGTTAGTGACATTCTTCCTGGAAGGTCAGGCTAAGGAATGGTAAATAAACGTTCAGATCCGGTGCTTTCCTCTCACCCATGATATTTTTTAAAAAAAGAAAGAAGGGGGAAAAATGCTTTGTGCTGTGAATTCCCAGGATCCTTGGCTGTGATTCTAAAAATCTATGCTGAAGTCTGTGCTTTGGGGTGAAATTTCTGGGAAGATTAGGGAGCCATTTTTTGCTTCCATTGATATGGTCTATTTCTTTAGGAAAGGCATTTAACCTCTCTGAGTCTCAGTTTGAAAATCAGGAGGAATGGTTCTGTAGTCCAGCTCTACTGGAATGGATGAGATAGTGTTTATAAAGATGTTTCTTGAGCCTGAATCCACCACTGAACCTATATTTTTCTGCTCATTCTCTCTGTCCACCTCACTGAGGTTGGGAATGGGGGAAGAGGGGCAGAGACCTGGAGCTGTGTCTGTCATGTGGCAGTGTCCTGAGGGCCTGAGTTTGTCCCCATGTCTGATTTACTGCCTTTGTGTGAAGATAAACTGATTACATGGCAAATGCCAGCATGGCCCATGGAGAAGTCATTTGGTGGGGGAGTTTGCGATGAAATCATTCTTAGTGTGACTTAGAAGGGGGCAGGTTTCAATTTCT